TCTCCGAACGAGGAATCCATTGGTGGGGTCACACGCTCGGGTCGAGTCCTGCCTAGCGACTCTGGAGCTCAAAACGCGTCTAGAGTTTTGGCCGCCTCCACCGGCGTGCCGGCCCACTGCTCGTCCGTCTGTGGTCGTGTATACACGGCATAGCTCTGCGTGGGCCTATGTAACATACGCTGTGTCCGCGCTGCCTCCTCCAGTAGCCTCACGGGGCCGCGGGCCGACGAACGTGCGTGGCGGGAAAGCCCCGCCAGTGGCGTGCGTGCGGGCCATGCCGCCAGACGGCCTGCCCGTCGGGGAGGATGCTGGCCCCGCCGGCCGGGCCCCGCAGGAGCAACCCTCGCCGCCGCCACGTGCGCGGCCGGCCCCTCCTTGTTCGCGGACCGGGCGCACCTCCTAAAGCCATCCATGTCAATTTATGACTACAGCGGGCTGCGGCCGCGCTGCCGGCCGGGTCGCCTCCAGCGGGCTGATTCCGAGAGTCGCCCCCGTCGCGCTGTCTCTCTCGCACCTACACGGCAAGACACATGAGTGCGAGAGAGACAGAGCAACGAAAACGACTCTCGGAATCAGCCTGCAGCCCCAGACGCTCGCGTGACCGCCGTAGTGGGCGGGGAGTGCAGCGGGCTGATTCCAAACAGCGCCGCTCCGTCTCTCTCGGACCCCTGCGGGACGCTCCGTGAGTGCGACGGAGACAGAGCGACGCCCGCAGGGACACGCGAGGCGTAGTCGCAAGGCGGGTCGGGTCGCATCCCTAATAAAATCGCAGTTACTGTCGCTGGGCGTATTTCGGCCCCCATTTTATCACTCATCAGACAGCAGCCTGATTCCGTCGCTCCGTCTCTCTCGCACTCATGGGCCGTCCCCTAGAGGTGCGAGAGGGACAGAGCGAGGAAAAAGACTCTCGGAATCAGTCTGGCGCGTCACGCGGTGGGGATTAGAACGCGGATTCGAGAAAGCCTCTCGCGGTGCGAGGCGAGGCCTAACGGGCGAACAAAGCCGTTCGGGATATCGACCGTGGATCGACAACTTCCTTAAAACCGTCCGTGGCGCGGCGGTCCATGCAGATCGCGTCCGGTGGACGCGGATTCGGTGGACGCGGATTAGAAGCGTAGCAGACTGTATCCGAACAAACGCATTCATTCCCAACAGCGCTCTCGTCGCTCTGTCCCGCTGTCACACTCGCGGTCGCGGTGCGTCCCGCAAGGGTGCGACCAAGGCAGACAGAGCCGAAGTGCATATCGTTCGCAGGCAGTCAACTGCAGGCACACTGAAAAACCAAACGTGGTCTAGACCACACCAACTGGTGTGGTCAAACGGGTGTCATTTTGACCGCAGCAGTTGGTGTGGTCGACCACACCAAACGTGGTCTAGACCACACCAAACGTGGCCAAACGTGGCCAAACGTGGTCTAGACCTCACCAAACGTGACCAAACGTGGCCAAACGTGGCCAAACGTGGTCTAGACCACACCAAACGTGGCACAACGTGGTCTAGACCACACCAAACGTGGCCAAACTTGGTCTAGACCACACCAAACGTGGCCAAACGTGGTCTAGACCACACCAAACGTGACCAAACGTAGTCTAGACCACACCAAACGTGCCCAAACGTGGTCTAGACCAGACCAACTGATGCGGTCAAATTGGCACCCATTTGACCACACCAGTGGTGTGGTCTAGATCACGTTTGGTTTTTCAGTGCAGTCAACGTATACTTGAGGAATCCTTTAGGCCTGTGCGACTTTCAGAGCGTGCTCAATTTATGGGACCTGTGGCCTGCCTCTCTCTCTCTCTCTCTCTCTCTCTCTCTAACTGGCCGCCGACCGCGGTGGGGCTGGTCCCTCTCATTCGAGACAGATCATCGATAATTTGAATGGCATCCGAGCCGTGACGCGCCGGAAGAGGTAGAGCACCGGAGGCGCCGGAGGCCCTGCTCCAATCCCTGCCGGAAGGCCCTAAGGCGCCCTACGGCCGAAGGCTGCGGAGGCCGGAGGAGGCAGAGCCTGGCCGGAGCCACGCGCCCACCCGGAACCCCGCGAGCCAAGCCGCCCGGAGCCAGTCACCCGGAGCAAGAAGACCGATGCCGGGAGTCGCCTTCCTCGCTCTGTCTCTCTCGCACTCACGGGGTGTAGGTGCGAGAGAGACAGCGCGACTGAGACGGCTCTCGGCATCGGTCCGGGTCCACGTTAGCCGTCCGCCAGTCGCGGCCGTGTGGTCGCACCATTAGGCCTGATTGGACGGCCCGCTTCCGGGCAGCGCGCTCCGGGCGACCCCGCCGGGAACCGCCGCCAAATTATGCACCGCCATCGACTCCTCATCGACGGAGATGCGGGCGGTGCAGCGGATGCCCGTTTAGAATGCAGCGCGCCTCCGGCGGCAGATTTTCGCATCCCACTGTTGCCACACTCTCTACGGCGGGACCCCCGTTTCGGCCCCACACTGTCAAACGGCACAGTTCAAAAAGAGATATCGACTAAAGCTGCGAAGGAAACACTGAAAAACGGTTCCTGATTCTTCCAGGAGGCACATGCCGAAGACAGGGGCAATTTCCAGGGAGTTCCTGGGAAAATGAGGAACCGTTTCTACCGTGTAACGTGAATGCTTCATGGTGAGACGAAGCAAAATTTCCGAGGGGTGGCCCACTGTAAAATTTCGAATACAATAATTGTGCGAATGTGAAAATTTTCTGGCGTTTTTAGCCACACAAGTGGGGTCACTATTCCTGCCTAAATGTGTAATGTGGTCAAATTTTGTAGAATGAATGTGGGAAGCTGCTCCCCCCCCTCGAAAATTCCTCGTGATACGCCTCGTGAAAAAAATCATACTTCATTTTCTTCGTACTTATGAAGTAATGAAGCAGATCCTGGGTGGGCTTTTTTACAGTGTGGACCCTTGATACACACTTTTTGCAGTGCAGCGCACGGGCGGTCCGATGAAATGTATGTATTCCCGTAGTGCCCCCCGCAGGCTGGCCTGTCGTGACCCTGTCAATAATTTCCACATTAAATCATCGAGCCGTGCTCATCATGAGCGAGCGGGGGGCGGGGCGGGGCGGGGCGGGGCGGGGGCGGGGCGGGGCGGGGGCGGGGCGGGGCGGGGGCGGGGCGGGGCGGGGCCATGGATGGCTAGCACGGCGGCGCCACTGTTTGACAAACCAAACCGCGCTTCCCCCGCGAGGCCGCGACCTCAGCGCTAATATCACTAATCCTCTCTAGATTAAATTGTCCCTGTTTTCATTTTCATGAGCTCTCGACGGCGCGGGGCCCGAGGGCACCGGGTCGCGCAGGCAGCCTGTGGGTCGGCCAGGGTCAGCCGGTCAGGGTCGGCCAAGGTCGGCCAGGGTCAGCCAGGGTCAGCCAGGGTCGGCCAGGGTCAGCCGGTCAGGGTCGGCCAAGGTCGGCCAGGGTCAGCCAGGGTCGGCCGGGGACGGCCTGGGGCGCAAGGCCTGACATGGACGTCGAGGGCAGGCCCATCCTATTGTCCAGCATTTGCCATCGACCCTATGTCCACTCCAACCGCGCGCACGGCCTCCTGACCGGCGGAGTGAACGCTGTGCTATCCCCACGACAAACACGCACACACACACGCACACACACACACACACACAGAGGATTCGCACGCCGGTGAAGGCAAATACACACGTCCTCTCACACACTGACATAAGCAGCCGCAACCCCCTCTATTACTCTCTCTCTCTCTCTCTCTCTCTCTCTCTCTCTCTCTCTCTCTCTCTCTCTCTCTCTCCCTCCCTCCGTCTCACACAGAAACGCCAACCCATACACGGGGTACTACAGCGGCCCTCCTATCGTGTCCGTACGAGCCAATGCCAATATGGGTGCAACAGTGATAGTGATGCTTATGGTGCACATGCTGGCCGCAACGCCAAACATTCTCACAGACAGGGGCTCTCTCTCTCTCTCTCTCTCTCTCTCTCTCTCTCTCTCTCTCTCTCTCTCTCTCTCTCTCTCTCTCTCTCTCTCTCTCACACACACACACACACACACACACACAGGGGGCGAAAGCACACTGGTGCAACTGGTTCATCCCCCCAGCCTAATTTGCATAAGACTATGTATGCAATGAAGCCGTGTGCCCCTCCCAGCGGAGCGCCGCCACGCCTTTTACAATAAAAGCACAGTGTGTTCGAACAGCGCGCGGTCACGTGACATCACGTGGGGCGTAAAGTGGCTCGCTGTCATCAACGGGTCACACTGCAAAATCAGGGAGGGGGGGGGCAGAAGCGTGACCAGCGACCGGTCAACACGCAACACGCGCTTGGTGCCCTCAGCAGGGTGATTCCGCAGAGTGCGGCCGTCGGTCTGTCTCTGTCGCACTCATGGGACGACCCGTATAGGTGCGAGACCGGCGGAAGCAGCCCGCCGCGGCTGACTCATTTAGACCAGGCCAGGCCAGGCAGGCGTCACCACACCGCCAAACGTGACTTACTAATTCACAGAAACCCACACGGGGGTGTGTGACAAGGATTCTCAGAAACCCACACTGATGCACGCCCTTCGTTTGACATCCGCGTCAAGCCGACGGCAATCCAGAACGCGGCGACCGAGGAGGCGTGAAGGAAGAGCCCGCCTGCAGACTGATTCCGAGAGCCGTCGCTCTGTCTCTCTCGCACTCATAGGGCGTGGCCCACAGGTGCGAGAGAGACGGAGCGACGAAGACGACTCTCAGTCTGCAGTGGGCGAGTGCCTCCACCTCTTCTGACCCCCAACCAACCCGACCCCCGTCCTTCCCGGGTGTCCTCATTCCGCAGCGGGTCTGTGTTCCATAGCGCTCTGCATAGGCACATCGAATGGCTGGACACGGGTCCGAATTATGGCATGACAAGAAGCTACGTCAATAAAGGGCGCGACAGAAAAGTCTCGAGTGTCACGTCATTATCCGGCGTCAATTCACAACTCGCAAATTATTCTGCTCTACAAGTTCTGTAAAAAAGTACGGATTTTTTTTCCACAGTAAGCCGGAGAAGATGTGACTCACCATCAATGTAGAAGTAGGACGTGATGTTCTTGAAGCTCTCCATGAGGGGCTTGACGGTCTCGAACAGCAGGTTGTGCAGCTGGTTGTTGCGCAGGTCCAGGTAGCGCATGCGCGACATGCCGTTGAAGGAGCCGGGGGCCAACACTTGCAGCAGGTTGTCGCCGAGCATGAGGCGCGTCAGGCGGCTCAGGCCCTCGAAGGCGCGGTTGCTCAGGTACTGCAGACCGTTCTCGTTGAGGTACAGTTCCGTCAGGTGCGGCATCTCGCAGAAGGTGCAGTCGCCCAGCATCCTGCACGGGCAAGCAGGCAGTGGTTTGGTTAGATCGACAAGAGGCTCGAGAGAGTTAGAGTCCTAGAGCCTGGATGTGTAAGGGTCCTAGATGTTTTAGAGAAACGCAGAGTTGCCCCAAATCCTTTTTGAATGAACAAACTCACTGAAAACGTAATGGTCGGACACATGGCCAAATTATGGCGTGACAAAAAGTCACGCCAAAAATTGGCGTGACACGAAATTCACGCCGATGAACGGCGTGACATGTGAGTCACGCCCTTATTTGGCGTAAATGACAACGCGTTTTATGAGACAAGTCATGCCAAAAAGCGGCATGACAAGAAATTCACACCAAAAATTGGAGTGAATTTTTGAGTCACGACGTTTTTTGGCGTGACTTTTCTGTCATGCCGTTTATTGGCGTGACACTTTATTCACGCCTCTGCAGCCACTGAGAACAGGCGTTTGGTCGCCCAAATTTGGGTGACGCCGTCGGCGACGCCGTGAGGTTCCCGATGACGTCCTTCCGGGGCCACCACGATGACCGGAGGCCTCAACGCCCCATTGAGTCATCGTGGTGGCCCCGGAAGAGCGTCATCTCGGGGACCTCACGCCGTCGCCGACGACGTTACCCAAATTTGGGTGACGATTTTATGACTGCCCAAAATTTGGTCACCGCGGGCTGGTCGCCCAAATTTGGGCAACGGTGCGTGCGTTACCCAATGAAAGGGCGATGGTGGTGACTTTCATTCTCAGTGGCGGCACGAAGTCACGCCGATAGATTTTCAGTGAAATTTTAAAATCTACAAAGATGCTTCCTGGTATGAAGCAAAGTCGTTCCTAATACGAAGAATTTCTTCAAAGTACGAAGCAATTCCATAAAACTCCTTCATTTTCAGAATACGAAGGAGATGCCTCATGGACTTTAGAGTACGCGTAGAAAGCTACACAAGCTTCCGTCGGCTCGATTCAACGTAGCGGACCAGGGGAACACAGCCTGCGTATCTCCAACACCACCAGGACTCTAACCGACTCTAGTGACAGCGACATGGCCATCGACGCCAAGTTTACCTGAGCTTGTTGTTGTTGAGCAGCAGTCGGCGCAGCATCTTGAGGCCGCTGAAGGTCTCCCGGGTGAGGACGGACAGCTGGTTGTCGTGGAGCTCCAGCTCGTCCAGGCCGGACAGGTGGGTGAAGGCGCCGTCGTGGAGGGTGGTGATGTTGTTGTGGTTGAGGAAGAGGCGGCGCAGCAGCGGCAGCCCCAGGAACACCTCGCGCTGGATCTCGGCGATGTTGTTCTCGCCCAGGTTGACGGCCGTCAGGTTCGGCAGCCAGGCGAAGGAGCGCGGCTTGAGCACCACGATCTGGTTACGCTGCAGTTGCAGCTCCTGGGGGCAACGACAAGGGTTCCATTCACTCTTCGACTCGAGGAGAAATTTACAAAGAATTAATATGCCTAATTCGCTGGACCGAAAAAATTCCACGAAGCAACGCCTCCTTAAAGGAGGAAACCAAAGAAATTATAAAATGAAGAAGAAATTGTTCATTATACGAAAAAAAAAAATTTCGTCACATCACGGTAAATCCACTCCTTCCCAGGAGAACCTCCTGGGATTCCAAGGATACACACAGGATCGAGTTTTAGATGGTTTTACCGGGTACGCAGCGTTTCTTCATTAAAACGAATCAACTCTACAATCCCTTCATTTCCTTCGTAGCGTTACGCGCGAGATGATTCTTGGACTTTTTCGAGTGTGCTCCCTGACGTACCTGCAGCGTGGTGAGGTTGGCGAAGGCGTAGGGCGGCAGGTCCGAGATGGTGGCGTAGGTGATCTCGAAGTACTTGAGCTTCCGGAGGAAGGACAGGGCGCGGGTGGGGATGAACTTGTGGATGCTCTCCTCGCGGACGTTGATCTTAAGCGTCTCCAGGTTGGGCTGCAACAGAAAAAGACACAAACACTCAAGCAAAACGGAATCCAGTGCTTACTTTTCGGCGAGCCGTTGTCACTACACCCAACAGAATGGTTTCTTAACTTTTGACTTTCTTGGTTTTTTGTAAGAAAAAAAATCTTGAAACAAGAAAAGGTTTCCTTTTGGATAAAAGAAAAATGCATTCAGAAAAATGTTCTTGCAAAAGCCAAGAAAATTTAATTTTTTTTTGGATCCAAGAAGTCATTTTTTGGGGGTGTAGAGGACGCCCTCTTTCCTTTCCAAAAAGAGGAGACTCCCTTTAGGGTCGTCCAAAAAATACGCAACGTCTTCCGTCCTTCTCGCACTCACTGGCAGTCCATAAGGAGCAACAAGGGACAGAGCTATGAAAAACGTTACGGAATAAGTGGACGATCCCCTTCGCAAGTGGCGCGCTAAGTTTCACGGCGCAAAAGGCCTCCAAACACTGTGGCAAAAAGCTACGGAAAATTCTGTAAACAGCTTGTGGTAATTCTCCGTAGGCCCCTTATCAATATTCTCCGTAGGCTCTTACAGTATTTTCTGTAGGACCGCACAGTATTCTCCGTAGGACCGCACAGTGATCTCCGTAGGACTATACAGTCTTCGAGGTCCTACGGAGAAGACTGTGCGGATTTACAGAGAATACTGTGCGGCCCTACGGAGAATACTGTAAGAGCCTACGGAGAATATTGATAAGAGGGCTACGGAGAATCCTGGCAAAAAAATTAACAGGATTTTCCGTACCTTTTTGCCACAGTGAAGAGGCTCAGACAAATCGAGACCCGGCCGGGCCCCGGCGGCCCACCTCGACGCGCCGAGGTTCCCGCCTCGGGACGAGCTTCCTGTACGCACTAGACCACGGGAAGGTCCTGGCCCGGAACGCCCCGCCACGCCCCGCCACGCCCCGCCACGCCCCGCTACGCCCCGCCACGCCACGCCACGCCCCGCCACGCCCCGCCACGCCCCGCCACGCCCCACCACGCCCCGCCACGCCGCAACCATCGGCACATTTCGCACTTCAAAGGGCGCAGCGACCCAGCGCTCTCCGATACGAATTTGATTCCAGGGAAGATACTAAACTGATTTCGGGGCGCGGCGGGGCGCGGCGGGGCGAGGGGAAGGAAGCCTATCACCCCTTTTCACAGGAGTAAGCCTCTCTCTGCCTCTCCCTCTCTCCCCAACAGACTAGCCCCCCCTCGCTCTCTCTCTCTCTCTCTCTCTCTCTCTCTCGCCGCACAAGTCTAGCACCTATTCCTCGCCCATTTCTCCTCCTCCTTGGAGCGATTCCAGGGAATCAATTATGCCAATTAACACCGAGCGTACGCACGGCCGGCAAAGCACGACACGCTGCAATGCCGACACGATTACCCGACAAAACGGCAACACGGCGCCTACACTCGGAAACAAACGAACCGCCGTGCTCGGGCCGGGCAAGGTAGAGCCCGCGGTAGAGCCCTAGTCGGTTGTCGGTTGAAGTAAACGTTAGAGACTTCGCCGCCATAAATCCCTTTAAGTGTATCTAAAAATGCGGAAAAATCCGCTCTGAATTGCTGAATACGGTCGTGACGATAAGTGCAAATGGTTGTCCCACTTTCAACAGGGAATCTGTTGTAGCAATAACGCATTTGGTTGGAGTGCTATTCGAAGGCGTTAGAGCTCTCTATTCATGTGGTCCAACCCAAAGTCCGCACTGAACATTTCAGTTCTTAATCCGAGCTCACACTGGTACTGAAACGTGGTTAAATACTGCATTCAAGACTGCATTCAAGCCTCAATTCAATCATTCATTCATTCAAGCATTCATTCATTCAAGCATTCATTCATTCAAGCGTCCATTCATTCAAGCATTCATTCATTCAAGCATTCATTCATTCAAGCATTCATTCATCCAAGCATTCGTTCATTCAAGCATTCATTCATTCAAGCATTCATTCAAGCATTCATTCATTCAAGCATTCATTCATTCAAGCATTCATTCATCCAAGCATTCGTTCATTCAAGCATTCATTTATTCAAGCATTCATTTATTCAAGCATTCATTCATTCAAGCATTCATTCATTCAAGCATTCATTCATTCAAGCATTCATTCATTCAAGCATTCATTCATTCAAGCATTCATTCATTCAAGCATTCATTCATTCAAGCATTCATTCATTCAAGCATTCATTCATTCAAGCATTCATTCATTCAAGCATTCATTCATTCAAGCATTCATTCATTCATGCATTCATTCATTCAAGCATTCATTCATTCATTCATTCATCAGGCGAAATGGAGTACTGTGCTTATGGTCGCTGGTATACCAGACAATGCTGCATTGCCCTCAACGCTATTGACGTGAGGCAAATGCCCTCTCGGATTAAGGACTCACTATTTTTTCAGTGCGGCCAAAAATATAGCCTGACCAAAGTCTACCTAAAGCGAAGCCTCCTCACCTGCGACGTGAACGAGTCCCAGATGGGCGCGGTCTCATTCTCGCTCTTGCCGAACACCCAGCACGAGGCCTCGGTGGCGTTGGCCAGCACCAGCGTGGAGCAGTGGCAGTACACGTTGAGGGTGCGGATGTGGAACGAGTCGCAGATGTTCATGAAGACGCCGGGCCGGCCGGGCACCGTGATGGTCTGCACCACGCTCTTGCGCCGCGTGTCCTTGGAGTCCTTGCTGCGCTTGGCGCCCGCCGCGTTCGAGTCGTGGCCCGCCAGCAGCAGCAGCACCAGCAGCAGCAGCCGCCACATCCTGCAACAGCCAAACATTTGAGATAAGGACACTCATTTTGAACGGTAGCGATGGCAGCAGGAGCCACATCCTCCAACAAAAACAAAACACTGGGTTCAGTTAGCTGCAGTTCAGAACGGGTCACTCTCTCCGGTTCGAGCTGGTCACTCTCTCGCAATCATCAAGAGCGGCGAGGTATATACCACTACCCTTCGCGTAGGGAGGGCCCATAGTGGGCCAGAAGACCGGTGGAGGCGGCCGAAGCTCCAGATGCGTTTTAAGCTCCAGAGCCGCTAAATGGGATTCGAACCGAACGTGTGACCCAACAAATGCATTGCTCTCCGAACGAGGAATCCGTTGGTAGGGTCACAAGTTCGGTACGAGTCCCACTGAGCGACTCTGGAGCTCAAAATCCGTCCATCACCTATGTCTCTGCCATAGGTTTCCTGAGAAAAACCGGAGCCGTTTTTACCGTGTAGTGTAAAGTGTAACCCCGCAGCCCTGCGCTGCAAGCCGTCCTCGTCGGGGACGCTGCGACGTCTTTTTAGAGTTCGACGCGGCGATACCCATGCACCGCGCGTGCCGCCGCGTCGCGCCGCGTCTCGACAACAACGTCCTCGTCGTCCTCGTCGTCCTCGCTCGACTTCTGCGAGCGTGCCGCGGCGCGGTGCCGGTAGCCCAAACACCGTGCGGAGGGCGAAGACCGACTCCGAGACTCGCCTCTCTGTCCCTCTCGCACTCGCGCGCCATCGCGTGCGGGTGCGAGACAGAGCGACGAAAACGCCTCTCGGAATCAGCGGCTGCAGCGCGGCAGAGCGCAGGAACCGAAGGACACGCAGCCAGGGCACCTGTGTGCGACTGTGTGCGTGTTTGTTTGTTTGTGTGTGTGTGTGTGTGTGTGTGTGTGTGTGTGTGTGTGTGTGTGTGTGTGTACGAGCAGTGCCCTCTGCCGGAGCCAACACTGACTCCACTTTATTTGCGTGTGTTTGTATCTGTGAGTGTGCGTGTGTGTGTGTGTGCGTGTGCTCTGGTATGACACCGGTTGGGGCACAGGAGCGAGGGAATGCACGATGTGTATCGTACAGGACCAGCATGGAAGCGGCAACACGTCCCGGGAGGCACGGTGGGGGGAAAGGGGAGGAGGGGGGAGGGGGGGGGAGGGGGGGGGAGGGGGGGAGGGGGCAGAGCGAGCAGGACAGGACAGTCGCCGCGGAGCAAAGACCGCGCGCCGCGTCCCGCTAGTTGTCGCAGGAGACTTAGTGTGTGTACACCGCACACACACCAAGTGTGTTCCGTTGTTAAGGATAATATCGGGCCTTACTGCGAAAAGAAAACTACAGAAAAATCTTGGGAATTCCCGGTAAACTTGTTGGAATACGAAGTGCTCGCGGCCTATTCGCAAATTTCCAAAAGGGTGTCTTCATTTTGAATGAGTTTTCGCTGCTAACGAGAAATACACAACGGAGAGACTTTGCAAAATATTTTCTTATTTTCCTCATCGAACTCTTCTTAATTGGCGAACAATTTTCTGAATTTTCCTCGGCAGAATTGTTTCAATGGGCCAAAATTGAGCCATTACCCATCCTTGAACCTCAGACCTAAACGGTAAATTAAGACCAAATGCAAAACTTTAGGCTGCGATCGAGAGTCAAAGCTAGCTGATTTAACAATCATCTGCTAAAAAAAACAACCGTCCGCTTTATCCAATTCCGAAGCTTACGCGAACAAGTCATGATCGGAAAAGGTTCCCTTTATTTCCGGAAGCACTTGGCATCCCGTTTATTTTGGGACCCTGAGGGGCAGCGAGCGTTCGGCCCCTCACTCCACGTTCCGATTTATTTCTTCAAGGAAGTGGCGGCCACTCTGGCTGCAGCTGCTGACCGAAGCGGCGCCGCCAATACAGTGGAACTTCCGTCTCTTCCGTCCGCATCGAGTACTTAGTACCAGCAGACTGATTCCGAGAGTCGTTTTCGTCGCTCTGTCTCCCTCGCACTCATCGGGCGTCCCCTGCAGTAGCGAGAGAGACAGAGCGACGGAAACGACTTTGGGAATCAGTCTGCAGGCATACAGCTCCTGTTTACTGTGGTGGCCACACACACACACACACACACACACACACACACACACACACACACACACACACACACACACACACACACACACACACACACTGGCGTACTCAGCGCCAGACATAATGGCAGCCCGTTTTTACACAGCAGCACTCCGAAAAGCAGCGATAAAATGAGCAGAGCATAACGCGACAATTTTGTCCTGTGGCGGGTCGGACGGGACGGTCGAGTCGGAAGTCGGAATACAGCTGGAGAGTCCGCACGTTAACGATTTCCCCGCCGCCACTTTTGGAGATCCATACCCACTCGTAAAACCAAGTGGGAAATAAACTGCGTCGGAAAATCGATCCTTAAAGCCCAGTTTGTCCCAGGCCGCCCGTCACGTTGGGAAATCTGGAATGTCATTTGACGGGCGAAGGGCACTGTCCAACCCAGTGTTCAGACTGCGTCAACTCTGCACTTCCACATCCAAGTTCATCATTTTCATCATGTCCATCATGTTTATCATGTTCATCATGTTCTTCATGCCCATCGTGCTCATCATGTTTATCATGTTTTTCACGCCCATCATGCTCATCATCATCATCATGCTCATAATCGTGCTCATCATCATGCTCATCATCATGCCCATCATCATCATCGTCATCGTCATCGTCATCATCACCATCGACAACAACAACATCGCAAACTAAAATTCCACACCTCAAGACTTGGGTTTCACAGTGGCGCCGTGATGACTAAAACCCCGAAAGCCGAAATTCTGTCCCCGACTGCCGCATGCCGGGCGGGTGGGGCGCAGCGGAAAGAATCCCGGCGGGACAGGTTGGCGACCGAGCGGCGCGGAAGGTTAGCTCTGGTTTTATTTTCCTAACAAGAGCACGGCCGCCGCGAGACATTTTCACAATTTAAAGCGACGAAAAGACAGAGAAAAACCGGTATGCGGGGCCAGCAGGTACCCGCAGTACAGCCAACGGGCGCACACACTCACATTCTACATACAAGCGCGCACACCTACACACACAGGCACACACACACACACACACACACACACACACACACTCGCACGCACGTACGTGCGTACACACTTCATAAACGGGAAAGGCATACAATGTTGTGCGGCGCAGCACACGGTCAGTTTTCGTTTTTTCAACGTTGCGTTATTTTTCCAAGATTTTTTTTTCAGCCGGACTGTCGCGTCGTCGTCGTCGTTCTCTCCCGAGTGCTCTCGCTGCAACACTGCAAAAGCAGCATTCGAACGGCCGTCCAGCCGTCCAGCCTGCCCGGTCCGTCTGTCTCTCTCGCACTCACAGGGCTGGTGCTGCATGAGTGCGAGAGAGAGAGAGAGAGAGAGAGAGAGAGAGAGAGAGAGAGAGAGAGAGAGAGAGAGAGAGAGAGAGAGAGAGAGAGAGAGACAAGCCGCGACCGGCGTGGTCACTGCCGAGTGGTCCGTCACCGCCCGACGATATGTAACATCACTTCACTCCACTTCGACCCGCGGCGGAATCCTCTTTTCACGTCGTTTGCCCCAGTTCCGTTTTGTTTTCCGCGTTTTTCAACGAGTTCGGCGATGGCGGCGCTGTGGACTAGACCGATTCCGAGAACCGTTCTCGTCGCTCTGTCTCTCTCGCACCCGCACGGGGGGCGCCATGAGTGCGCACACTAAACTTCTTACGGATACATCCTATCTGTATTACGGACATTTTTGTGCAATTGCAATTACGGATAGATTTTGCTTGTAATACGGATGATTTCATCCGTAATACAAAGGTTTTCGTGTCCGTAACATACATACGAAAATATCTGTATGGTACGGACGTAAAACTCTTTGTAATACGGATGATTTCATCCGTATTACAAGCAAAATCTATCCGTAATTGCAATTGCACAAAAATGTCCGTAATACAGATAGGATGTATCCGTAAGAAGTTTAGTGTGCGAGAGAGACAGAGCGACGAAAGGGCCTCTCGGAATCAGTCTGCTGGGAGTCGACGAGGGCGGCGCGGCTCGCAACGTCATTAAAACGCCATTTGTCATCCCTCTCCCACTTTGTCTCTAGAAGCCCCGCGAAGGCCGACTTCGACCTCCGCTTCGTCGCTGCGTCTCTCTCGCACCCCAACGGGACGCCCCGCGAGTGCGAGAGAGACGGAAGACCCTTCGGCATCCAGAGGCGCGTCTGTAGGGGCAGTACAGGGAAGCGTTTCCGGGAAAAGCAACAGCGGCCCGCCTAATTCTTTCTTCCTCCATGTCGACTTCGGTTGCCGTAATCTCGGATCGGCTCGCTTGTTAGCTCCATTGACGGCTGGGCGGAGGCCTAGGCCTAGAGGCCCGCCTGTGGGGCCGAGGCAGAGGCCGAGGCAGAGGCCGAGGCAGAGGCCTCCCCCTCTGGCTCAGCCGCCGTGGTGGGCGGATTCCGAGGGGGCGGTCTCATCGCTCTGTCTCTCTCACACCTCTACACGGGACTCCCCGTGAGAGAGAGAGAGAGAGAGAGAGAGAGAGAGAGAGAGAGAGAGAGAGAGAAAGGAGAGAGAGAGACCTCCCCCTCGGAATCGGCCCGCAGTGCGTGGCGGCGCGCCAGCCGGGCCGCGCCGGGCCTCGGCCCCCCGGATACAGACACGGCGATTAGCGCTACAAGTCTGGCTTTCGGCCCTCGGCCTCGGCCCAGACTCAGCCTGTGGGCCTCGGCCCGCGGGAGGAACCGCCCGGGAATCGGACGGCCCGACCGGCCAACTAGGAAAACTCCAATTAGTGACAAAGCGACAGGACTACGCAGCGATGAGCCGCCTCTGTCTGTGTGTGTGTGTGTGTGTGTGCGTGTGTGTGTGTCAGGGGGTCATGACCCCTCCAAACCACCCCTGTTGGGACCTTTAGACAGCCGACTGGATGGTAGGCAAATGACGATACATTCCACGTGACCTGAAGGTGGACAAAAAGCGTCGCTTTTCTCTCTGTCTT